CCAAAACACCGGTGGTATAGCCCTCAGAATCACAGCAACTCAATCCACCACAGCACGACAGACAGACGAGTGGTGGCCGTTGTTGTTGTTAAGTGTTGTCAAGTCAGTTCCAACTCATAGCAACCCTATATAGGGTGTCCAAGGAGCAGCTGGTAAACTTGAACCACCGACCTTGCAATCTAGCAAATTAGCCCGCAGTGCCACACATTTCACCTAATAGCCAAGCATTAAACCACTGTGCTATCAGGGCTCCTTATCCACCATGTTGTTGTTAAAGTGCTGTCGAGTTGGTTCCAACTCATAGTAACCCTGTATATGAGTTTTCAAGGAGTGGCTGGTGAGTTCAATTTAAAATGACCTTACAGTGTAGCACATTAACCCACAACGCCACAGCAGGGCTCTTTATCCACTATAATGCCAAGGAATTTGGGCCAAGAATTAAAAAGAAAACACAAATGCAGTCACCATATAACCCCCATGTCCTTCCTACTAGGTCTTCTTGTCTAAAACACATAAGTTGGAACAGAAAGCAGATTGGAAGATGGTAGCTAACAGGTATGGGGTTTCTCTGTGAGTGATGAAAATGCTCTAAAACTTCTTGTGGTGAAGGATGCACACATATGTGAATATATTAAATCTATTATGCTGTATATTTTAATTGGGTTAAATGATACGATATGTAAATTATGCATCTGTGAAACTGTTTTTTGTTTTGTTTTGCTAAAGATCATTCTGTATTCCAGTAGGAAATGATGAGAGAATAAATAAATTAAAATAGGAACAACAGTCCTAAAAAACACATCACTGTGCACAAGTATACCAAATGATAGCCTCCTTATAAAAATTCTGTCGGAACTTAACATCAAAGATAAATGTAGTCTGTGAACACTTGGCTTGTTCTTATCTCAAGAACGCTGTGCATTTTGTAACTTGTAAGTTGGTGACATGTGTTTAGTCGATATTTGGATCACAATGGCTACATCTTTAGTCTTGTTCCCGGTCTCCTATCTTGGTCTGTGTGTCTGTTACCCCTTGCCCTGCTATGCCACTGTAGGCCGCCTCAGATCCTTTCTGGAACTAGGCAAGTTACCGGTACAGAAGAACAGACACAGTGTGGGCCAGTTAGCGCACATGCTGGTAGGTTACCAGTTCTTTCCGTAGCTGGGCAAGTTCCTCCTTCTTCTGCTCTTCCTCTCGTTGTCTGACCTCCTCCAATTGCTGGATTTTCTGGGCTTCTACCTCAGCCATTTTCTTCTCTAGCTCCTGCCGCTCCTGGGCTCTCTTCTCAGTGGCCAGCTGAAATGGTTCCTGAACTAGAGAACCAGCAAGGCCATCTGAATACAAAAGAAAGAGACTGTTGGTACACAAGCAGGACACACATAAAATTAGTCCCCACAGATCTAGCAAGTTGTACAGATGTGCATGGCAGCAGAGAGGCTGAGCTCTGAAAGATCCACTGGGAGAAAGGGGGGCGGGGTCTAAACCATACATGCCGAGGATGTGAATTTTAAGATTGGACAGACCCTCGAAAATCCTCTACTGTAATTAGAAGATATCCAAGGCCTACCGAAGTTAAAAGTAACTTGCTCAAAATAAAAACTACATAGTGATTATTACAGGCACCGAAGAATTTTAACTTTCTGACACCCCAGTCAGTGCTTAAGGAATCAAATGTTTTGTATCTAAGGCTTGCTTCAGTGATTAACTCCAGAAATACCTTCTGGCGCTCCTTCTCTCACTTACTTGCTACTCTAGGGTTAGGTAAAGCCTACAACTGTTATTGAAATGCTAGTTGCCTCTCCAAAGGCTCCTGTTATATGAATCTGGCTCCAATACATTTCTATAACTCAACATTGCTGCTGTGTTCAACAAAGGCAACATACTAGTTCCAGGGGAAGAAAGACTACAATCCTCTGAAGTTAGATGCTCTGGTTGGCACAGCACTGTAATAACACAACTAAGTCCCAGGCACTCCTGTGGGAAGTCTGTCACTTTACCCCATCGCTCCAAGTTTACATAGAACAATACCAGCAACTGTTTTTTTCTCTTTCTTGGGTACAAAGGGCTCCTGGGAGATGACAGTGTTCGGACGAGCCTTGAAGCAGGCTGCTTCTTTCTGCTGTTTCAGTTCTTCCGCCAACTACAAGAAAGACAGTCTGTCAGATACATCATTTTCCATGACTACCAACGCAAGTTCTAATGTTTCTAAACGGCTTCATCAATAAAAACAGATGACACAGAAAAATAAAAAAAAATAAAAATAAGAGCAGATGATTTCATGTAGTCCTCAGTTATAATAAACCCTCTAACACAAACCATATATTGAATAGATCTGACTGACAACATCGGAACCCACTGAAAGCTAGAAAGAATCTTTAAGGTACTTTTGAGACTTATCTTTAATCACAAAACAACAACAACTAGACATTAAGGTCCCCGGATGTAATTCATTTAGGAACTATACAATATCACCTATAAAGTATTCTTCCCACCAAAATATTATGTAACCAGAATGTAATCAAGTCTCTAGATCTAACTGTCCATTCATAGATAATATTGAGGGTAGAGACACATGTCAAAACACTACCATGGGAATGCGATCAGCAAATTCCATGTTGTAGAAAATGTACAGGACAAACAATCCAGTTTATTTGACAAATAAGATACAAGGAGGGAACCTAGAGGTTAAAAAGGATTCAGAGATTTATCAGACAAATGCATTATAAGGCCCTTGTTTGGATTCTGATTTGTACAATTCAACAGTTGCTTACACAGAGATTACGGATATTTCAATGCTGAATATTAGATATTAAGAAATTACTGCTCATTTTAAAAGTATGATAATAGTATTGTGTTTATTTAAAGTCCTTCTCTTTAAAGACACATGCTGAAGTACTCTTGTATGAAATGAGATATCCTATGTAGGTAGAAGTATCTAGTATAGGGATAAGTAGGCAAAGCACAGATGAAATAAGATCTTTCACGTTTTGATAATTTGTAGAACCAGGGGATGGTACCATGGGAGGTCAGTACATGATTCCTCTTTACTTTTATCTACACTTGGAAAACTTAAAACAGTTTTTCTTATGGAAAAGAGCCCACATAGAGACTCTATGTTTCAGTCTTTGAGAGAGACTGACTGCTATTTCAAACAACAGTCCAAAGGTCTGCTGGAGAACATGTCAGCTGATGGCGTCCCTTCAATCATTTAGCAATCACAGCTCCTGGGCTTTTAGAGGGGTGGCTTCCTACAAAGATGACGCTAGAGACCTTTTTGGGCAGAGTACAAGGTAAGAAACTTACTGGCCTGAATACTGTCCCCACAAAATTCATACCCACTTGGAATCTCAGCATGTGACCTTATCTGGAGATAACATCTGCTGATGTAATTAGTTCCGGTGAAGTAGATTAAAATGGGTTCTATGTCTAGTATGACTGGCATCTTTATGTAAGGAAACAGGAGAACACACACAGACAGAAATGATGTAATGATGGAAGAAGAAGGGGTCAAAGTGTCTACAAATTAGAGAATGCAAAGTTTTCCAGCAACCATTAAGAAGCTAAGAAGAAGTTCTGGAAGAGACTCTTCCCTTGGGCTTTCAGGGAGAGCACGGCCTTAAAGTACCTTGGTTTCCGAGTGTGAGAGAATAAATGTCTGTTGTTTTAAGTCGCGCAGTAATTTATTAGGGTCACCCTAGCAAACGAATCCAGTGATAATGTAAAAACAGTGACAAAATTAGGAACTTGAGAACATTTTTTCTCAAGTCAGAATTAGACTTCAATTAGACCAGTCAACAGTAAATGGGTTTTAATCACCTATCATCCATAAACAAAACAAAACAAAACAAAAAGTATACCATGTTGAGAAGACTGAAAATCTATTCTCATCATATGGTTTCTTATGAAAGCACCAACATTTAATGAACAACTCTAACAGATGGGCTCAATGGATCTTTAAAGATAAGGAGAGCTTTGTGTACACCCTACCCTTGAGGTCTAACAGAAGTTATACAAACAGACATATGCACAACTGTTCCCAATAGTAAAAAGATGGAAACAGCCCATCAGTAGATGAATATGTAAGCATAATGTGGTACTACTCAGTGATAAAGACAAATGAGTCCCCAAAACATCTTACTATTTGGATGAGCTCGGAGGACGTTAAATTGAACAAAATAAGACAATCACACGCACACACAACAAAAAGCCCACAAATCTTGTGTGCTCACTTTTATGAAATGCCATAAAAAAGGTAACTCCACAGAAACTAATGATCTTTAGTGGTTGGGGGTGCAGGAGGAAGCATTCTCTAGTCACTTTTTGGTTTTAGAAACAGAGAAGGTCGTATCAAATATAGGCAACATTCGTAATAGCAAAACCGATGTGGTGTCAATTAGTTTACATAGGAAAAAGGGATACATTGGCAAATGCTAGGTTGTGTATGATTTTTCAACAATACCACCCACCTAAAAAGTAGGGGGGAGGTGTACAGATACTAATTAATAGTAATTATACATAATATTGTTTTTAAAGTTTATATTTGGCCTCCCCGAGTGTTGAGTATTAAAAGCTTACAAGCAGCCATCTAAGACACAACTGTTGATCTTTATTCGTCTGGAACAAAAGAGAAAGAAGTCCAACAGTCAGAGAAGGAACTTGGACTACAGGAGGAATGGGCTACATGAAGCACTGCCTGCTTCACCTTGAGATATGAACTAGACAGATGAATCCAATCAAAAGGGAGAAAAATGTGGACATACCTTTAAATCTTAAGGACTCCAGACTTACTGAACCTATAGAGGTCGGAAGAGTACCTGACACCATGACCCCGAGTTGCTTGAACTTGAACTGAAACCACTAGGCAAAGTCACCTTTAAGTAAACAGCCTAGCCCAAAGAGTAAAGATTGTCACCCTTGAGTATCACATTTCTGAAAAGATTATCTTAAAAGACCAAGAGGACCCTGGTGGCACTGTAGGATAAATACCAGATTGTTTTGCTGTTATAATTATTAGGTGCCATAAAGTAGGTACCGACTCAGGGCAACCCTACGCACAGCAGAATGAAACTGGTAGCGTAGTGGTTACGAATCGGGCTGCGAACCTTAAGGTCAGCGGTTCGAAACTACCAGCCGCTCCGCGGGAGAAAGATGAGGTTTTCTACTCCCGTAAAGATTTACACCCTCGGAAACCCTGTACAGGGTCGCTATGGGTCGGACCCGACTCGATGGCACTTAACAACAACAACAACAACAACATAAAGTAGGTACCGACTCAGGGCAACCCTACGCACAGCAGAATGAAACACTGCCAAGTCCTGTGCCAACCTCACAATCATTGCTACATTTGAGCCCATTGCTGCTGCCACTGTGCCAGTCCATTTTCTTGGGGGTCTTCCTCTTTTTCTTCGACCCTCCACTTTACCAAACATGTTAACTGAACAACCGCAAAGTTGACAGTTTACACCAAACAACTGCTCTGCGAGAGAGAAATGAGGCTGTCTGCTCCAGTAAGACTGACAGCCTTGGACTGCCATCCAGGGTTTTTCTAAGTCAGAATTAACTCACTGGCAGTGAGGGTGGTTTAGTTCACAAAGGGTCAACAGCTATTTTAAAGCACAAATGAGAAGGTTGGGGGTAGTGGAACCAACTAAAGCAAATGCAAAGAGTGTAACCAAGGCCACGGACCATTATGTCTAAAAACTGGGGAAGGGGTTTTGTTGCTTATGCTTTCATAAAAAAAAAACAAATAAGGACTTGGGGGGAAATCCACAATACTGTTATTATACCCAAGAAATAAAATAAATAGCAATGTCTTAATATTAACAAATACTCAGCAAAGAAACCAGTCCTCACATTTCTCAAGCAATTACGTAGAGTAGGGAGTCAGCAAACTTTGGCCTATACACCAAACTGGCTTGTGGTATGTTTTGTATAGTCCTAGAGCTAATTAGAGTCTTTACATTTTAAAAGGTTGAAAACAAACACATACATACCCCAACATGACAGAGACCATATGTGTAACCTATAAAATTCAAAATATTTATTTACCAGGTGGCTGTTATAGAGAGAAAATATGCAGACCCCTTATTTAGAATAGGAATCCTTAAAATAATCCAGTATGTTAGGTCCCAGATGAATTTCCCACGTAATGGGTCTGCCTGTTCTTACACATGAACCAACTAGCCATACATCAACAGTTTGGCTGCTCCCACCATTGCCCACCTGATGCTTCCAAGTCTGCATCTTCAGAGCACCTCTCTTGTCAGTCTCCAAACAGAAAGGTTCGATCTGAGTTGCTGTTTTCACCTTCTTTTCTGGCAAGTTAATGGTGTCAAAATGGGGCAAAGGAAGTGCTTTGAACTTGGGCATCTAATTGCAAAGAAGATAAAAGATTTAAGATTAAGACCCCTCTAGCCAGAAAACAATAGCTGCTTCAAAATATTTGGATGAATATGAAAAACAGGACAGGCCAGTTACTTCTCAAAGCAGCGTGGTCTAACAGGGAGAGCCATGGGCTCCTCCCAACTGTGCCAATAACTGGCAGGGTGATCGTGGGCAAGTCACTTACCTTCCTGTGCCAAAACAACTATTAAAGTAACTTACATTATTTTATACTTCATAGAGTTCTTAAACATATCAAAAAAAGTCAGTGATTTATAGTTAAAAGTGGCACATAAAAGATTATCTCTGAGGGACCAAAGAGTAGTATACACTACTGTTAACCACAAAGTTGGTGATTCAAACACAACAGCTGCTCCTCAGAAACCCTAGATAGAGTAACTGTGAGTCGGAACTGACTTGAAAGCACTTAACACCAATAACACCTGCAGAAATGGCAACACCTACCTCCCCTTTCTGCAGTTCTTTTATCTTCTTCTCTTTCAGTAGTTGACGTTCTTTATCCCGAGAATCAAAGGAGAAAGGGCATACTTCTATTGTTCTTGCCTCTGGAATTTGGGGCTTAAAAGGTACCCCAAAATGTGGCACAGGCTGTGCTTTTATTACTACTGCCTCCTCCTCTTCCTGTGGGAAAAACTCTATTTTAGAAACACGACTCCTTGTGCTAGCCCACAATATCAAAATGCAGAGCCAAAGGGCATTATCATTACATGAGGCACGTTGTTAATTAGGTGGAGTAGCTTCCTTTTTTTTATCAAAGACAGATACTACCTGTCACCAAGCACCTCACAGGGGCAAGACCCATCAGGTCACCACAAAAGCATTTTGGTAAAGAACATAATTACTCTTAAAGGATCTAAAGTTTTTCACTGGAAAGTTGCAAAATATATGAGCTGAAACCATGAAAGAACAGAAGGAAGGTACTATAGCCTCTTGATAAGCCAGCCTCCAGACTCCACTAAAGCATGTGACCCAGAGAGAATGGTTGCCAAACCCAGAATAGGACTAAGTAAATTCTTTGGGTTCAAGCTAGTAACATAAGATTACCATGTATTATAGTTTCAAATGAAACTATCAAAAGGCTTCAGAGATCTGCTATAAAATGACCCTAACGCTAGATATTTATACATAAAATGGGTGTTGTAACAAGAAACTAGCCTGATCAATGGCAATTTAAGTATTCCAGTTCCATGAACGAGGCCTACTGCTGCAGCCTTGGTTTAATGGAAATAGGAAAAGGCAGCCACTACTGAAACAATGATTTGGTATTTTCCATGTACTTAGTCTGTAAATAACACAATGTTTTCTGTTCTGTCTTTTCTTTGTAACCCCTATGCCTATCCTTTCCCTTACCTTCGTGCACTGATTAGGACCCTAAGTACAATATTAAAGCAGAATGGTAACAACATCTTCTCATTTCCTCAGAAAACTTTCAATACTTTACCATACACAATGTCTGCAATAGCTTTTTGTTTTTAATAAATACTCTTTATCAAAGTATCTATGATGATGTAAAGAAAATTTTTTCAATCGATAACACATTTCTTTAGAAAAGGAAATAAGGATGAATTACTAGAAAATTTAAAGGAAAAAAGAGATATTAATTGAAAGTCCAAACTTCATTTCTAGATTCAACAGATACAGAACAACTCTGTCAAACACAAGTTATAAACCTTCTACTACTCTCAATTTCCGTACTTAGCTCATTGCAAACCAAGCAGCAGTTTCAAAGCAGGCACCAGGCTGTGGGGCCTGTTTTCTCTAGCAGATATTGCTTTTTAGCTTCCTAAGAAAGGATTGGTAAGAGTACATTAGACAATGTATCAAAAATAATTTCCTAATTTTGGTGATCACATTAGAGTTATATAGAGGAATATTCTTATTTATGTGACAAGCATATTTATGTGACAGTCATTAAGCTGGCACTACAGTTAACTGCTACGAGCACAGCAACTTTTGATTCATGTTACAAAGGCTGATTTCCAATGCTACAGCAATGGACAAGTCTCCAATGCCTAACCGCTCCTTACTGTTCCGATGTCATCAAAAGTCAGAAGAGTCACACCTATGACAACTAATTTTCTCTTGGAGGAGCAAATAAATGCTGATTCGTATTCATTCTTACAGACAGCTCTAGACAAGGGTGGTTGTCTTTGCATTCCATTAAGTCTAAAATAAGTAATGTTTAGGTTTATTATATAGAAGGAAAAAGAAACCCCTCACTCCCAGAGAATCAATCACCTCTTCTTCTTTGGTGAACACTCGAACTCTGTTCTTCAAAGAAAAGGCTGGGGACTTGGGGATGGTGATCGGAAGCACCTTCTTTTCAGGAACACCCTGGGAGGAGAAAGCAACTCAGTTAAACATCCCAAAACAATTCTCACTAGACTGTAAATTCTTTGTGAGGAAATTATACACTGAGGTGTCACAGGCACACACATTTGTATGTATGTGTGCTGGTGTGTACATGCATTTATCTATTATTAAAGGAATGAACAAGCAACCTTGTTTTATTAGATTAGATAAAACCATTCTTGGAAAGTAAGTGCGTTCATTAGGAATGAAATTCAAAAGGATAGTATTTCAATATTTGTTGTTAATCTGACAAAGACAGGCATGGATAGATTATCACAACAGAAAAGCTGCAAATAACAAAGACACAGAGTTTTGTACTTTTGGTAAAAATATAATTCACCAAAACCTTTTTTTTGTATTTTTGAAAAATACACTGTAAAAGAGAACAAACAATAGCAATATTTTATTGCTCCTGTTCCCTTCTATACTCTAATCCTCAAAAACAAATCAATGTACCTAAAATGAGAATAGATTCTGCCATTTTCTTTAAATCTAATTCAGTCTATGGTGAGAATAGACACTCAAAACCACTATCCTCAAAAGGAAAATGGCAAAACTGAGCAAAGAGCTAATTCTATATACCTTTATCAAAAATTAGCAAAGTACAGGCAGTTCATAAATATATACAAAGGGATCAATTGTATTAAGTTTTAAAAAATACAAGTAAAACAAGATATTTTTTTCACCTACATGAGTAATGTTTTAAAAAAAAAGTGTAAGGAGAAGTGGGCACCCACATACAACTGGGCAAAGGTACAGAGTATAAACTGGTACCGCCTTTTGGGAATAGGTCACTAACTTTTTAAATGGTCGCACCCTTATACCCAACTAACACTTCTAATATTTGATCTCCCCACGCACTGTCAGTTAGTCTATTATGGATGTCAGAAGAGACTAAAATTTGCTCTTGAACATAAGACTAGCTATAGAGAATGAAAGAAGTGATGACGTAAAAAGAGCAGAACAGAAAATTTCAAAAAACAGTTCAAGAAGATAAATATAATGACATGTGCAAAGAACTGGAGTTAGAGAACCAAAAGGGAAGAACACACTCAGCATTTCTCAAGCTGAAAGAACTAAAGAAAACATGCAAGCCTCAACTTACAATAATGAAGGCTTCTAAAAAAAAATGTAAGGAGTTCTAGGAGCTCTGGTAGCATAGTGGTTACGAATCAGGCTGCTACTCTCACGGTCAGCCATTCGAAACTATCAGCTGTTCCGCAGCAGAAAGATGAGGCTTTCTGCTCCCATAAAGTTTTATAGCCTCAGAAACCCTGTACAGGGTCACTATGACTCGGAACCGACTCCATGGCACATAACAACAACATGGGCAAAATTGGAGTCATGGTGTGGTGCTGCAAGAGAAGCACTGGACCACAGGTCAGTTTGAACCACAAGGTTGGCAGTTCTAACCTACCAGCTGCTCGTTGGAAAGCTTAAAACGGGTCACTAGGAGTTGGAACCGACTCAAAAGCACTGAACAACAACATGGGCAAAAGAATTAACGATATAAGAAGCATCCAAAGAAAATGGACAGAATATACAACCACTGTACCAAAAAGAACTGGTCAGAAGACAAGAAGCAATGGTACTGAAAGAAGAAGTCCATGCTGCACTGAAGGCAATGATGAGAAGCAAGGTTATAGGAATTGATGGAATACCAACTGAAATGTTCCAACAAACTGATGCAAAGCTGGAGGTACTCACTAGTCTATGCCAAGACATTTGGAAGACAGCTACCTGGCCAACCAGCTGGAATAAATCCGTATTTCTGTCCATTTCAAAGAAAGTTGGCCCAACAGAATATGGAAGTAGTTGTCAATAAATCAAACAAAGGAATGCATTAGGCCACTCTGATGCAAAAGAACTCTTTAAAGTGTGAATGAGAATTTCACTATGAGGACTAAGGTGCACCTCACCCAAGTCATGGTGTTTTCAATGGCCTCAATTGCAAGCACAAGTTGGACAGTCAATAAGATGGAGAAGGACTGATGCATTTGAATTACTGTGTTGGCAAAGAATATTGAAAGTACCACAGACTGCCAGTAGAATAAACAAATCTGTCCTGGAAGAAGTACAGCCAGAATGCTCCTTAGAAGCAAGAATGGTGAGACTTTGTCTCACATACTTTGGACCCATTATAAGGAGAGGACCAGCCTCTGAAAAAGGACATCATGCTTGATAAAGCAGGTCAATGAAAGAGAGGAAGCCCCCCAATGAGATGGCTTGACACAGTGGCTACAACAATGGGTTCAAATATAACAATTAGGAGGCTGACACAGGACCAGGCAGCATTTCGTTCTGTTGTGCGTGGGGTTGTTATGAGTTGGAGCCAACTCAATGGAACCTAAGAATAGTATTGGATCTATAGTCTAGGTTTCCTTTGGTTTTGTTTTTTAACCAACATTCTCAAAAAGAGTAAAATATAAAAAATAATTCAATTGTCTACCAAGAAAGAAATGGCTAAATCCTTTCTTAACCTGTGATATATACACATAATCGAATACTATAGAGTTGTTAGGTACCACTAAGTGGGTTCCAATTCATAATGACCGCATGCCCAGTCCTGCACCATCCGCACAGTCGTTACTAGGTTTGAGCCCACTGTCGCAGCCACTGCGTCAGTTCATCTCACTGAAGTGTTCCTCTTTTACACTGACCATCTACTTTTCCAATTATGATGTCTTTTCTCCATGAACTGATCCCTCCTGATAACACGAGACAAAGTCTCATCATCCTAATTTCTAAGACGCATTCGGCCATACTTCTTCCAAGGCAGATTTAGTCATTCTTGTGACAGTCCATTCAATATTCTGTGTTAACAGCATAATTCATAGACACCAATTCTTCTTCCTTATTCACTGTCCAGTTTTCACATGCATAGGAGAAAACTGAAAATACCATGGCTTTCATCAGATTCACCTTAGTCTTTAAAATAGTATCTTTGTTTTTTAACACTTTAAAGATTTGGCCAATGCAAGGCATCGTTTGATTTTTTGACTGCTGCTTTCATGGGTGTTGACGGCAGATCCAACTAAAATTAAATCCTTGATAATCAGTAAAAAGAATACAATAAATCATCATTTGCGACAGAGAACCATGTCCTTAGCATGGGGGGAGGACAAGTTGCTAGACAGGAGGACATGTTTGTTTTTCTGTGTGTTTTTAAAAGGTGTATATATACTTCTTGTTAACTGCCATTGAGTTGGTTCCAACCTGAAGCAACCCTGTGTAGGGTTTTCAAAGAGCAGCTGGTAGGTTTGAACTGCCGACCTAGTGGTTCTCAGCCCAGTGCTTATCATATAGTACCACATCACAAGTACATATATACCTTGTGGTCAAGTGCCGTTGAGTTGGTTCCGACCCATAGCAACCCTGTATAGGGTTTCCTAGGAGCAGTTGGTGAGCTTAAACCGTCAACTTTTCGGTTCAAACTGACTTTGCAGTCCAGCACATTAGCTCACAATGCCACACCAGGACTCCATATATATATACACACTTCTTGTTGTTAAGTGCCGTCAAGTCGGTTCTGACCCATAGCGACCCTGTGTAGATGCGGTTTCCGAGGAGCAGCTAGTGAGCTTGAACCACTGACCTTGCAGTTCAAACCTACTTTTGTAGTCCAGTGCATTAACCCACAGCACTACACCAGGACTCCATATATACACTAGGATGGTTATAATTAGAAAAACGAAACCCAGTAATATGTGTTGGCAAGAATGTGAAAAATTGGAATCTCATACATTGCTGACAGGAATATCAAATGGCGCAGCTGCTATAAAAAAAAGTCTGACAATTCCTCAAAAAGTGATGCACATGGATGGTCAGAGTTCAACCAGAAGAAGAAAGAAGAGGAAAATAAGAGTAATCTGATAATATTCGATGAACTTGACCTATACCAATGGATGCAGTAGCTCAAAAGAGGGAACAAATCCTTACAGCAAGAATCATTACCACCCCCTCCATACAGAGTAGACAAGAATGGGCAACTTGGACATTGGCTACCCAAAATGGGGGGGGTGAGGGGGTTGGCTACAAAGGCAAGAAGTAACTGGCTTACAAGCTTTCAAGAGGGAACCTAGAGCCATAGGGCCAGAAGGAAGTCAGAATCTCCGGTGAGTAGTATCCAATCTGTCTAGGCGGGGCTGATGAAACGCAACGCAGATGGGTCTCTTATGATACAATAGTGAATAATTGTTATCAGGACTGATTGTGAGGGTTGGAAATGTAAAAGTAGATGTTTTATAGCAAGGAAGGGAGTGATTAACTTTCCAGTCCAGGAGCGGAGGTCCCTAGGACCACTAACGGAGAAGAGCGGAGTGTGAGACCCTATCCAGAGAAGCAGTGATGCCTGACATGGAGGTAGAGATGATGACGTGGAGAGATGGAGCAGCTGGGGACTTTAGATCCAGAGGGGGAGAGGGATTGTGTGCTGAAGACCGGGGGTAGAGGGGGGAGGCTTACAGTGTATACCCTTTGGTTGGTTGATGATGCCTGGAGGGGATTGTAACCATGGCAATGAAATGATATACTAAAGAATGAATGTAAAACTAATGTTCTCCCATGTAAACTATCACATAGTTCACAATGTTGTTGTTGTTGTTGTCAGGTGCCATCGAGTCGGAACCGACCCACAGCGACCCCATGCACAGCAGAACGAAACAATGCTCGATCCTGGGCCAACCTCACCACCGCCACCACCCCCGAGTCCATCAATGATGCCACCTGGCCGATCCATCTCGTTGGAGGTCTTCCTCTTTTTCTCTGACCCTCCACCCCACCCAGCATGACATCCTTCTCCAACGATTGTTTCCTCCGGACTACATGTCCAAAGTAGGAGAGACGAAGCTTAGCCATCCTGGCCTCCAAGGAGCACTCTGGCTGCACTTCTTCCAAAACAGATCTATTGGTTCTTTTGGCAGTCCATGGCACCCTCAGTATTCTCCTCCAACACCACAACTCAAAGGCATCAATTCTTCTAC